CCCAAAAAACTGATGCCATAACCTTCTTTGACGATTTTGACGCCTTCACTTGCTTCGGAGCTGAACAACCGGGTTCTGTCCACTCTGCAGTTTGTTGTCGCAGCTTCGGATCATAGTGGTAAACCCAAGTCTCATCCATGGTTACGAATCGACGCACAAAATCTGTTTTATTCTTTTGAAAACGGGCCAAATGTTCTTGAGAAAGTTTTACTCGAGTGCGTTTCTGATCCAGAGTTAGCGAATGCGGCACCCATCTTGCCAACAGCTTTCTCAGACGTAATTCATCGTGCAAGATGTGTAATACCCGTTCATCTGAGATGCCCACAGTCTCAGCAATTTCACGTTTGGTCAATCGTCTATCATCCATAACCATGTCATGCACAGCATTAATCGTTTCTTCAGTAGTAGCACTTTTTGGACGTCCAGAGCGAGGGTCATCTTCAAGGCTTGAACGCCCACGTTGAAACTCCGCAGCCCATTTGCATACTGTTGTTTTTGAAGGAGCATCATCACCCAACACATTTACCATTTCATTATGAATTTCCATGGGCTTTAAACCTTTTTTCACAAAGAATTTTATTACAGCACGATGTTCAATATTTTCCATTTTAAAAAATACTATGACACGTCTAATTTCAATAGCTTGTAAACAAAGACTGAAATGACATATCGACTTGAAATTTTTTATGCGTTCATACGAAGAATGAATACGTTTAATACAGTTATAAATTTGTTTCTACTACTGCAACATAGGTGCCGCTCCGCGAACTTTTCAACCAACCTAGTATTATCACCACATTTCACTTTGTAACTGGAAATCGAGGGAAAAATTATTTTTGAGAAAAAAAATTTAATTATCTATGGTCAAACTTTTGTAAAAAAGGATAACTCATCATATTGTCCTTTGTTAAACCAACAGGCAAAGAAAATACCAAAGAAAAAAAATTTAAAAATTAAAAAAAAAAAGTTTTATTTAATGTTACCCGCAAATTCAAAGTTACCCAGAATGACTGTAATAGTATTATTTTTTAATTTTTTTTTGTTGTTGTTATAGAAGCCCGTTTGGTCTTATCACAGTGCGGCGCGCAAGAGCATTCTATAAGGGGTAGGTACAATCGGCAGAGCTGAGCAGATTGGCAGAGCAGATTATTGTAATGTTGATAGCGGCAGAGCAGATTATCCAATCAGCCGTTTTCTAATGTGTGATCTGCCAAATATTATTTGGCAGATCACACATTATTTAAATATTATTTGGCAGATCACGCATTATTAAAATATAATTTTGCAGATCACAAAATAGAAAACGGCTGATTGCCTGTCTGTGATAATCTGCTCTGCCGTTATTATTATTACAATAATCTGCTCTGCCAATCTGCTCTGCCGGTTGCATTAGGATCTGCCGAAATATTTGGCAGATCACACATTAGAATACGGCAGATCACTTTTTTTGTGGAAAAGTATTGCGACAACAAAAAACGTTTATGTTTAAAAAGTCAACTCATAGTTCTTTCTATTCAAAGTGCATCGTTTTTCATAAAAAATTTTGGCAATCACATTATAAAAATTCTATTAAATGATCTGCCGAATTATTTGGCAGATCACACATTAGGAAACGGCTGATTGAATAATCTGCTCTGCCGTTATTAACATTTCAATGATCTGCTCTGCCAACCTGCTCTGCTCTGCCGATTGTACCTACCCTTCTATAAGAAGTTCGCACCTCAATTCTTACTAATGTGCCAGACTGTTATAAATAAAAAACATTTAACGCATGCGCAATCTCAACATTCTATTTTATTTATAAAAAAAGGTTTTCTTTATACTTTTTTTATTCGATTTTTTAAAAAAATTTAAAATTTTATTTTACTTAAAATATGTTTATTTTCCAATTACTGTCGAGGTATGTCATCTGACCTAAGACACGCTTTGAAAAAGCTTTCGCAGTGTGTGTAATAGTTTGATAAGTTAACATTAGGAATAGATAAGCATGCCTCACGCATTTTTGAAATTAGTTCATTTCTTCCAGCTGGGGCCGTATTTCTTCGCACGTTATTCTTAAGATAAAAAAAAAATCTCTTCACGCGGATTCAAGAATGGTGAATATGGTGGCAAATATTTTATTTGAATGTTCTGAGCCCTCATCTCAACATTATGATGGATTCTGACATTATCCATCACCAGGGTGAATTCTTCCTCTGTCCCCAAAACTCGTACAACTTCATCAATATATTCTTGAAACAAAACTGTGTTTAATGACATACTGACAGCTTCGCAGTGAATAATATTTAAACCATTGACGGCCAATATCATCGAAACGTTACGTTGCGTAGGGTGAATGATCGGGTTTGGTGTTACTCCTCTTCTTGCCCATGAATGATTGCGAAACATGTGTAAATTAAATGAACTTTCATTAATAAAAAAAATATTTCGATAGCAATTAATAGGCGTTGGTCACCCATCTCCAGACAGTTTTAATTAATACATTTATATTTAAAGCATATTTAATTTCAATTATAGTTGACGTTGTGTTATCGTTTATAAGCTCTTCAATTCTTCTTCTAATCTCTTCATTATAATTAACGTGACGAGCGCCACCTCTAGAACCAGGAAGTGTTGAATTCGTTCGATCGTACCTTCTTAAAATCGATTGTATTGTGTTTCGATTAACTCCTGTTAACAATGAAGCTTCGGATTGAGTTTTTCTTTGATCAACGACTAGATTTACTACAAGATCTCGCATGTTTTGGGAAAAAGAATTTCGCGGCATAAAGATTCAGATTGAGTTTTTCGTGGCAATGAAGTTTCAGATTGAATTTTTCTTTGATTAACGACCAATCTCAAAACAAATTTTCGCTTATTTTGGCAAACAGAATTTCGCTGCATGTTTTTATTTTTATTTTTTTAAGTTGATTAAGGTGCCCCAGTTTTTGGATCAAAATAAAGGCTGCTTGAGATGCCATTACGCCTGAACAATGCCAAAAAATGATCTTGTTAATGGGCCGTCGTTGTCAAGCAGTTATTGACTCAAAAGGATACCCCATTAAATATTAATTTACCTCAGATAAAGTTTTAACTAATTACTATGACTTTTATAACAAAGGGACAAAATGATAATTCTTTAACAGGGTGCGCTATTTAAAATGCCACCTGACTCTGTACCTCTAAATCAACTAATTTAACTATGTTAATTTATTTTTTTACTAGAAAAAAGTAAGTTAGGCATCTAGTTTATATAATATATCATTGGGTAGAAAAAAGTTTCTTTATCCAATGATATATTATATAAACTAGATGGTTAACGTACGGGAATTTTTTGAACGAAAAATAAAGCCGGTATTTTGTTGAACTAAAGATAATTCAAATACACGTTTTAATAACTACAAAATACTTATAAAAGTTTTTTGTTAAGAGCCTAGGTTTATTAAAAAGTATTATAACTCATAAAAATGCTTCAAAAGCGTCTTTCGTTTCACTTTTCTCTTCAAAACTTTAATCCCTTTCAAATCAAAAATAAAGTTAGGAATCATAAATTATTATTTTACAAGTGTACTAATTTCCTCTTAACACCTTTACATAATTAGTATTTATATTTAAAATATATTTACTTCATTTAAGAAAAGTAATAATGTAATCAAATTTAATCCTCCATATGAAAAAAATTTTAAGGGCACCTAAAAAAACTTTAGGGCACCGAAAAAAACTTCTTAGGGCACCTAAAAAAAAATCTATTTGATTTATATAATTTTGCAGTGATATCAATTATATATTATAAATATACCAGATGTCTAACTTCGATCCAAAAATTGAAGCAGCTTTTTCCCTTTTTAAAAAAGAAGTCTTTATGGTTTTATCACCGAGGACCACTGAAGAACATTTGAAAGCTAGTTCACGCCTTATTTCTTACCGATGCACAGTGGTTTGAAAAACTTGATTTTCAGCCACAAAAAAAATTGTAATTTTTGTTATTTTTAAACCCAACATTGTCCAGGTAATTCAAAAATATGTAAATTTCATATATTTTCTTGAAGAAAAGTCAATAACTGTATCCAAGAGCGATTAAAAACCGATGAATAATTTCTTGCAAAAATACATTTTTTCGTTTGCGCATAAATTTAAAACTATATGCGCATATGTATAGATTTTTTTTTAGAACAAATTTTATAGTATAGAGTTTAATTTGAAATAATATTAATTTTTCAATAATATTTTTAATAATTGATATGATTTTATTAAATCCTTATATGCATATAATATTCAAAAAAAAAAAAAAAAAAATCAGCCACAGATATAATTATTTAAACCAATTTTAAAGCTCCCAAAATATACCTGTTTTATGTTATCAAAAATACAAGGAACTCTATTCTTGTTTTATTTCTATATATACATGTTCATAATTTTTTCTTTTTTTACACAATCGCACTTGCTACCTTAATTGTTAAAAATGGTTCAAATATTCATTTTTATAAAATATTTCATATATTTAACTAGATGAACATAATTTAAAAAAAATGCATATTTAGCAACTTTAAAACCCATGTAAAATGTAAAATCCGCCATTAAAACATTTACAGTATATTTTGAACATCTATTATCGCATAATAGTTGTTCTAAAAAAATCAGCTGCAGATAGTTAAAATAAAGGAACTTAAATTCATTGCAAACTATACCATATTGACACTAAATTTGCTTGTTTTTATACTACATTTTAAATATTTTTGTTATTCGGTATTGTACGTATACTTTTTATATTATGATTTTTAAGTTAATGTATAGTTGATATTATATATCTTTAGTTTTATTGTATATCTTTAGTTTTGATATTACATATCTTTAGTTTAAAGCGCGTCGAAAAAATGTTTAAGATTTGTGATGCCAAATAAACAGCCGACATTTATTTGGTACCTCACAATTACTTTGCCAACGCTAAAATATATATGAAATATAAATAACCATGAAATTATATCAAATATATGCATAAAGATAATTTAAATAAACAACAATTAGTAATTTTCTTTTTACACATTTTTTAAAAAAAAATGAAGTACAAATGTTTCCTTATGAGGATGGTGGATAGGGAACAGGTTTTCTTAATTTATAAAAACAGCCCTTGGGCATCGAGTTATCTCCGACGGGAAGCAAAGCAAGAAAAGTAGGTGTATCAGCGCCTTCATCTGGAGTTAACATGTTATCATATTTTCCACCAGTCATATCAGTATTGACAAGACCCGGACAACAAGAATTAACAATAATGTTTAATTCAGGATTTTTGTCAAACTCCCGTTGCTGGAGTTGTGTCAAAATTGAAACACCAATTTTAGACATTCCATATGCGGTTTTAGGCCATCCATTTTCAACTAACGTGTCACTTTTTGCATGTTCCACAAACAACAAAAGTAATTCTTTAAGTCCTATAAAATATGAAGAACAAAAAATATTTTGCTTTCATTCACAAAATAATTTCTAGTTATTTTCTCTCATAAAAAAAAAGATTCTTTAACAGAAATAACAGTTAATACATTTAGGCGAAATTAAAATTGTTAATTGGAAAATGATTAAAAAAAATATTATTTATAAACTTGAGTTTATTTTATATAACTGGTCCAAAGACTTTCAAGAAAAGGTTCAAGAAACTTCTGGAGCATTCTAGAACGTTCGCGAAATATTTTTTTATGAGTATAAATATTTTTAAAATGATTTGTAAAATTAACTTTATAAAAACAACAAAAATGATTTTTTAAATAAATTTTTTGATGAATCCATAAATTTAATTTAATAGTTAAAAACATAAAAGAGTTATTTATTTTTTGTTATGCTATGTCTAGACTGTCTATTAAAATTTGTTTACACTTAAACGCTTTTAAATAAAGTTTTAAAATACTATTAAATAAATTATCATAGAATATTAAATAAAACTTTTACTTATTTCAAAAGTATTTTTTTTTTAATGATGAATTTTTTTTTTTTAAACAATTTATATTCTTAATTTTATATACGACAGCAACGAATGTATTTCAATAAACTTTTTTAAAAATACCTTTTGATAATTTAAATAAAGTTAGTTTTTTATTAAAAGATAATTGGATGTAAGTATTTTTTTATTTAAAAGAGTTCGCCTAATATTATAAAAACATTAGAAAACTTGAAGTTTTATAGTTCATCGAGTTGGTTTGAAAAGGTTATTAACTGAAATTTTTTGTATTAAAAGAATTAAAAAAATATACATATATATTTTTTTAATGTTTAATAAAAATTATTTATATTATTATTATTTTTTTGTTTATGAATTCCTTTTTTGAATGATATATAAAAACACATGAATAAATAAAAAATAATCAAATAAATATCTTTATATAATAACATTAATAAAAAAAGATTTAATTGCTATACTCTTAATATAAAAAAAAAAAAATCAGTTAGAAACTTGTCAAATCAACACGACCAGTTATTCAACCTTTTGCAAAATATAATCAACCAATTGCAAAATATAATTTAAAATAATTTTCTTTTAGAGTATTAGTTTTTCAGATTTACTTAAGTTGATATTTTTTTAAAGCTATAGATTTTAATATATTTTTTTAATTTCTCTTTCGTTAAGATTTCTTTCTTTTTTATATAGTTTAGCCTGCTTATAATTTTTTTCCTGTCTGTTTTTTTTAGCGCGTTTTAATTAACTAATTACTTGTTTGGTCATGATTGGAGTGCTATCGCACGCCTTTCCTGTCCACAACTGTATTCAAGGTGATAATTTTAATGAACAACTAATTTTAAATATCCCTTTGTTATTTTTTAATTGATTGTACTCTTATGCATATGATTTCTTTTAAGCATTTATAATTAATTCTGTTTCTGCATCGTTAATTTCATCCGTTGAGAGTGTTGCTGATGATGAACATTTTTCATTACAGTTGTTTAGGAACCTTTGTACCCAGGCTAAGATTTGCGTTAACCATCCCCAACTTGAGTAGCGAGTTGGTATCTAAATGTCATTCATCGGTATTTACTTCGGATTTAATAGCTATTAAAGTACAAGTATTCTTAACTTCTAGTATTATCTTATTTTCAATATTTTTAAATTCTTTAGTTGGCCAATGGGATTTTTCTTATCGGATGAAATCAGGTCTACTCCACCACAAGTTACTGTTCTGTAAATCGCTTATTTTTGCTCCTCTAGATGACAAATCCACAGGATTTTTTCCTGTTGGTACATAACGCCATTGTTTCGGATTTGAATGAGTTTTTGACGAAACAAATAATTTAACATTCCACCAATATCATAACAATCAACAAAGTAACAAACCATTCCAATAGCGTTTTGAGAAGCGTCAACAAGTATGTGGAGAATTGAATAACTTTGTTGGTGTTTTTAAAATGTAAATAATGTGGTATTTTGCATTGATGCATATTTTTTAGTTCACTAAACCCGATATTTAACTTTTGTTATATTTTTTCTGGTAGCATTTCATCCCAATCTTCTGCTGAAGTCCATAGTTCTTGAAATATTACTTTTGCTCAAATAACAAAAGGAGACAAAAACCTGAGTGGATCGAAGAGTTTTGAAACGAGTTTTGCTTGATTTAGGGTAATTTTTATTTTTAACACTTCTAGCTTGCGTAACCGATGATGAATGAACATTTTTGATTTCCCAAAATGTTTTTAGAGTTTCATTAATTTTTTTAACTTCAGAAATGTTTGTGCTTAATGTTCTGGTGTGGCAAGTATAATAACTTTGTGTACATCTAAGTGCCCTAATGCATGTCTTGGATTACCAGTGCACCCTTTTATTTCCTTTTTTAATGAGTGAAGTTCTGCGTTGTCTAATCCAATAAGAATATCTACATTTAGTTGCTGTCCCAATCTGTAAAATGGTACAGTTCTTAGGTGACTCTAATATTTTTAAACTAATTTCAGTCCACTACTTGCATGTTAGTCGTAACTCTGTCAGCTGTTAATGCATTTATTTCCTTTTTTATTTTATTGCTTTCCAACTGATTTCAACATAGTTTAAAAGGTTTTAAACTATGCCTTTTTAAACTATTAATTTAAGGTTGATGTACTATCGAGTACATTAACCTTAAATTCTTTTACCACTACTTTTAATCCAAGTTCTGTAGGTACATCACTGTTTATATAGGTACTGACATTATCCAATAAAGCATTGACTTGTATCAATTGTATAAAATGACAGGTAAAGTTTTTGTTAAATGTTTTTTTACATTTTTTGCCAACGTAATTATTACCCAAACAATGATAACATATACGATGAAGTTTTGTATGTTCCCATCTTTAACTAATGTCCAAACTGCGTGATTACTATCACAAATCTTGCACATTTTTGTTACATCGCCTTTGAATTTTCTCTAAAGTAACTTCTTTGTTTCTCTTTAAAACCTTTAAATGGTTTTTCTTGGTTATATCTTAGTTCTTCTAGACCACATATTTCTTGGGCAATTGTATAAAACACCACTTCTTGAATAACTTATCTCACAACAATCCCACTCCAGGACATTTTTGCTTTTCAAATAATAGATTTGGACAGAAATGGCGTGTGATTGTACTCTGTAACTGGCCATGCTAATTTTTTTTTTCTTTACAACTTGACCACGGCTATTTTGATGTTTTAACAATTTAAATGCAATAAAATAAGTGTTATGTTATCAATAAATTTTAATCTTTGATCTTTTCTAAAGTTTTTATTTTATGTGAAGGGTTTAAATAAAACCGTAAAATTAATTATAATGATTGTTTACATAAACACATGTGTAAATTAATAAAAAATGTTATATATAATTATTTTTTTTATGCAAGCATGTATTTTTATGTAATTTAAACCTTAAAAACTATTTTTTCAATGTAATTAAAATGTTTGAAACTATGTCTTCCAAAAAATCGTTTTGGAAAAAATAATGGTTTAAAAAACCATTATTTTTTGAATTTTTTTTTTTTAAGTTACTTTAAATTACTGTTGATTTACAAAGTTACTCAAGTTAAATATGAATTAGTTCAAAACCTTTTGTGACCACTAGGTTTTATACACGTTATGTGAATTATACAAGTATATAAAATAACTTTATTTACTTATATAAGCATGTATTTTGTTGATTAATGGAAAAGTTTTAAAGCATTTTTTAATGTTCATATGATTAATTTTTTATAATTAAACTTTTTTAGATTTTTTTAAAAATCTTTTAAACAAACATTGAATTTTTTAAAAAAAATTTAATTTTTTTATTTTTTTAAATAGGAATGAATAAGTTTAAATCCTTTATAATAATTTTTAAATTTGTTACATGAAGCGCTTACTAATATAATTGTAATGCTCAAATTAAAAATAAATTACTTGTTGGCAGTTTATTTTATTTAAATTGCAGGCACATTTTATATATTTTTTTCCCATTTTTATGAATAAAAAAGATAAAAACTAGATTTACTAATTAGAGTATGAAATTATTCAAAATTTATAGTATTTTAAAAAGAATTGTTTAAAAAATAACGCAGTTATTTTTTAAACAATTTTTTTGAAAAAACAAATGTTTATAAAATTTAAAAGTAACTTCAAAAAAATGTTTAAAAAGAAAAGTTTTTAAAACATTTATTTCAAACATAGTTAAAAACGTAACAAAAAGTTAAAGTTTTTATTTTACTTTAGTACTTATATTTTTCATGAAGAATTTTTTTCTTTAGTTTTTGTAAAACTTTTTTTCTAGTTTAAGTTTAGCTTAGAGTTTCTACATCCAGCGCATTTCTGAAATGTTTAAATCATCAAAACATATAAACAATCGTGGTTAAGTTGTCAAAAAATAAAACCATTTGCATGGTCAGCAATAGCACTTTGTCTCTCTGGTTTTCTAATTCAGATATTTAACTTTGTGATTTATTTTTGAGACAACCCAAATCAATTACCTCTACCGCTTGATTTTTGTCTAGTTAAATACTTACTTGTAACCAGTTTCTCTTTGTTCTCCTTTGGTTAGTTCAGGTATGGTCTCACTTAAACTTTTATCTTGTATTTCTTCTGTATCATATTTACCTTATAGTTCCATATTTACTACAATCTTATGGTTGACAGAGACTACTATGAGTATTTTTTGTGATGGTCTTAAACTAATTTTTCTATGCTGATAATTGTGCCTCCTACCTACAGATTCAGACAGGCACGAAGACTTTACTAACTTTATCCCATCACCTTCTCCTTCTTGTGTTGAAAAAAACTTAAATGATCTTATCACTTCTTTCAAGGAGAAAGCAAAACAACTTGCAAAGGACTTTTTCTCTAATTTATTTCTTGAACCTTTTTTTTTAACTAATTCACTCCCAACAATACAGCAAGTAACCACTACTTAAGAGTTGGGAGTAAAAAAATATATTATCGAAGAGAAAAAAAAAAAATTAAAGCAAGAATGAGTTTTGATTGATGGAACTAGGAATACTAACTTGTTTTATTTAGAAAAGAAAAAAAGGTGTAACCATGAAAAATTGACTCACGCTTAGCTAAAAAAGCTGGTTGAACTATACTTTTAACAGGTTTTTGTTTTAATATGTGGAAAACAATAGTAGATGATATCTAATTTTATTTTTTGCACTCTTTTCTACATATATTAAAACAAAAGTAAATTAATTAGAGAATATATTAAATTTTTTAAATATTAATAATAAGATTTTATTTAAAAACATAAAAGTAAAAGAGTAAAGATAAAAAAAAAAAACATGTGTTATAAAAATTCAGTAAAAAAAACCATAAAAACAAAAATCATATTTTTTAAATAAAACTTAATTTAATAAATTAAAATATACATTAATAAATTTTAGAAATAAAAGTTCTACAAAGATAAATGTATTCTGACAATCACAAGTACGTTAACAATTTTTTGTACATTGGTGGATATTTATAAATATAATAATAATACAAAAAAAACTTTAATGAAAAGCATGTAAAATGATTACTTTTTTTTTTTGCTACTATGGTCAACAATGAATTATTAAGTTTAAATATGATCTAATATACATACATTTCAAAAGAGAGTTTTTTTTTATTATTATTATAAAAAGTATATTATAAATTAAGAATTAAAAAAAAACTTACCATTTATAGTCAGATTGCTGTTTTTGAATTGTTGCTTGCGATCATCAGATAACTTGTTAAAAGCGTATTCACTAACCATGCTGGATACGTGAACAACTCTAGCATTAGGTTTTAATATAGGAAAGAGGGTATCGCAAACTTGAATTGTACCAAAAAAGTTTGCATTGATAGTAACTTCTGCTTGCTCTGAAAATGGTGCATTGCTAGCTTCTTTATAAGCAATGGCTGCATTGTTAACTAACACATCAAGACCATTATGTTTAGAGAGTAAATGATCACGTAGAGAATTAATGCTATTTTGATCTGTGATATCAAGCTGATGATATTCAGCATGCAGATCTAAAGCAGCTAATTCTTCTACAGCTTTAAGTCCAAGTTCTATATTTCTTGATGTTAAATAAACAATTTTTTCTTCTTTATCCTGCAAAAGTAGTTTTACTATTGATTTACCTATTCCTTTGTTTGATCCTGTAACTACAAAAACACGCGGTGACATCTTTCAGTACTTTATAGTAAAAAAAAAAAAGATTTTTGTTTATAATATCTTTCTTAATAAATGTCTACGCACAATATCATGCGTTCAAGACGATAACGTTATTCATGTGACCGTTGTGCAAATAATGCTTTTGCATTGCACAATGTGTATTAGGGTGCGTCGATTTAACAACATTTTTTTTTTAATGAAATTAATAAAAACAAAATAATACACACACACACACACACACACACACACACACACACACACACACACACACACACACACACACACACACACACACACACACACACACACACACACACACACATAGAAATCCAAGCTGCCAGTATTGTTGGGCCGAAAGCATTTGGCGTTAGTTGGCTGAACTGCATTGATTTGCATTTGGGCCAGCAGCATTTTGATTCAGTTAGCCGAATTGCATTGGATTTGCAATTGGGCCAACTGCATATTGTGTTAGTTGGCGCAACTATGTTGCATTTGTAGTGGGACCAACTACATTTTGCATTAGTTGGCGAAACTGCATTGGATTTGCAATTGGGCTTACTGCACTTTGCATTATTTGGCGAAACTGCTTTGGATTTGCGCTATTGCTAAATGTGATTCGTACAACTGCAACCACATTGTACGAATCACATTTTGCAATAGGGCATTGAAAATTGAAGTTGGGTCAACTTTATTTTGTGATAGTTGGTCCACTAGATGTACTCGATGTAAGGATGGTTTTTATCTTTTTTCGTAGATTTAAACATTTTGCTCGCCATCGCAATAGAGAATTCCCCCGTGTACAAAACATGATGATGTAACAATAACTGAAGAAAATATAATTGGGGCTATTTCAAATTTAAAATTAAAAAAATCTCCTGACTCTTTCGGTATCTCAGCAGAACATTTGAAATACGCCAAGTGCGATACTTTAACAAAATGGCTCATCAAATTTTTTAATTACTCCATTAATTATGGATCGACTCCAATATCGACTCCAATATATTAGAAATACTCATTCCCTACAATTTGGATTCAATGCTAACTCTTCAACGCTACATGCTGAATTTCTAATAAGCGAAACAATTAAACATTACAACAGCAACCATTCCCCTGTGTATCTATGTTCTTTAGATGCAGAAAAAGCTTTTGATAGCTGTAACTGGAATATCCTATTTGAAAAATTATATTTCGATAAAAAATTACCACTATGTATAGTTAACACTATCTCCTCGTTGTATAACAATAGTAGCACAACAGTCTCATATCAAGGTTGTAAATCAAACTCTTTTCCTCTAAACCAAGGAGTAAGACAAGGATCAATTCTTTCGCCTCACCTCTATAATATTTACACTGAAAGTCTTCTCGAAACTATTAAAAATCAGGGTATTGTTGGCACATCTATAAACGGTAACTTTTTTTTTTTTTTTTTTTTTTTTTTTTTTTTTTTTTTTTTTTTTTTTTGCCGTTTCATATATTTACAATATAGACATATTACATTTATAAAAATTGGCCGGAGCAAGAAGAAGACAAGGACTGTCTTATCGCCGAGCCCCGTTTACAAATTGCCCGTGTTTATATACAAAAAAACGTTAAAGAGTACATAACTTTTGTCAAATAATAAAATGACATTTATATTAAAATTTAAAAGTAAAGAAAGTTTTGTTTACTAATACAAATATATTTGATACATATAACAAAATATACTTAATGATAATGGGAGCGTTTGTTTCTATTTTAAAATTTCCTTTTTAAAAAAAATACTTAAAGTCTATTGAATTGAAATCTAATTGAAGTAAGATTCTTTTAGAAACTGCTTTAAATTTTTCTAAAGAGTAGTGTTCTTTATTAAAGTTTTTAATAAAATTTTTCCATAAAAAAGGTCCTCGATATTTAATTTGATAAGAACTTATTTTTAAATTTATTCTCGGAACAATAAAGTTATCCTCTGAAAACTTTGTTGGATACTTATGAGATATTTCGCTAAAATAAGATTGAAATATAAGTGGAGATATTCCATGTTTCATTTTAAACATGAAAAGTAATGTTTGGTAAATGTTTAGTTTATAAATATTTAAGGCCTTGAGACGATTTAATAGTGGTTCGCAATAAACAGTTCTGTTTGCCCCAAATACAATCCTACAAGCATGCTTTTGTTTACTATAAAGTTTTTTGAGTTTTCCGTAATTCGTACTTCCCCATGCAATGTTGCAGTAAGAAAGATAGCTGTGAATAAATGAAAAATAAATTTTCGTTAGAGCTTTTGCGTTTAAAAATGGTTTTGTTTTATAAAGTACGGAAATATTATAAGAGATTTTACTTTCAATAGATTGGATGTGAAACTTCCATGACAAATTTTCATCAAGAATTACGCCTAAAAAATTAACAGTAGATTCCCTTTTTACATCTGTTTTATTGAATAAAAGATTTGGCAGTTTAAGTGGAATATTATCAACTTTATTTGGTTTGTGGAACAGGATGAATTTAGTTTTATCTACATTTAGTGAAAGGCGGTTACTTATAAACCATTCATTTACTTTATATAATTCTTCATTAAAAATTTTAAAGAGAATTTTTATATCTCTGTGAGAATAAAACAAATTGGAATCGTCAGCAAACAATATAAGATATAATTTTTTAGATGCTAAAAATAAGTCGTTTATATATATTAGAAACAATAATGGTCCTAAGATAGATCCTTGAGGAACCCCGCAATTTATAAGCTTTTTTTTGGTTTCATTTGTTTCATAGGTTATGCATTGTTTTCTGTTAGTCAAGTAGTTTTTAAACCAAAGTAAGTTTAAGTTGTTTACTCCATAAAGTTTTAATTTTTTTATAAGGATTTCATGATTGACAGTGTCAAATGCTTTGGATAAATCAATGAAAACTCCTAAGGTAAAATAATCTTTATCAAAAGCATCCGATATATGGTTTACAAGCTCAATTACCGCGTGATCCGTAGAATGATTTTTTTTAAACCCAAATTGTTTGTTGTACAGAATATTATTTGATACTAGATGATTATAAAGCCTATTGTACATAATGCGTTCTAGCAATTTAGAGAAACAAGGTAATACAGAAATAGGTCTATAGTTTGAAACATTTGTTTTTTTACCTGACTTAAAAATCGGTGTGATTTTAGCTATTTTAAGTTTGTCTGGTACAATACCAGACGTTAATGAGAGATTAAAAATGTGAAACAATAAGGGTTCAATAATATCAAAGACTGATTTAACTACTTTGACGCTAATTTTATCTATGCCTGCACTTTTGTTATTTTTTAGAGAGCAAAAGGCATTATGCAACTCACTTATATTTAAACTTAGTTCTGTCATAACATTATTTGCTGTTTTGAGGTATGTTTCAAATTTTATGGTACTAGATGGAATTTTAGCCGCCAGATTTGGACCAATCTCAAGAAAAAAACTGTTTAGCTTTTCAGCTATGGTTTCTTTGTCATAAACAACTTTTTCATCAATTAACAGTTTTTGTGGCAAATTGTTTTTAATCGAAATATTTTTGCCAATTATTTCTTTTATTATATTCCAAGTTTTTTTTGTATTTCCATTACTTTTTTCCAATAGCTTTTCATAATAAGATTTTTTTGATAATTTTTTGGTTTTTTCAAACAAATTTTTGTAGTTTTTGTATATTATTTCATTGTGATATGTTTTATGTCGTAGATATTTTTCATATAGTTTTTGCTTTTTCTTTGAAGATTTGATTAAACCTTTTGTCATCCACGGATTTAAAATAGACTTAGAATTTAAATTTTGTTCGATTAAAGGAAATGCCTTATTATTTTGTTTACTAAAAAACGTGAGGAATAATTCATAAGAATTATTTGCATTTTGTGTTTCATACACTAAGTTCCAATCAACAGAATTTTTTAATAGATCGCGAAATCGTGCTAAGGAGTTTTCATTAATTTGACGTACCAAAATTTTTGATTTTATGGAATTGCTTATTAATGTCATGTTTTTAGTGGTTAGAAAGATCGGAAAATGATCACTTATGTCGGTCTTAATTATGCCTGTTCTTATGCAGGATTTGTGAAAATTGTTTGTTATTAAGTTGTCGACTAATGTTGAAGATGTCTTTGTTATTCTTGTTGCCTTATTTATTGTTGGAATAAAATTATATTGCAAAATGGTGTCAATAAAGCATTTAGCATCATTTTTTGATGCATAATTTAAAATGTTTATGTTAAAATCTCCAACTAAGTATACATGTTTCCGATTTTTACTGGTTTGGGTTAGAAAATTTTTAATGTGAGCTTTAAAATTTTTTAAGTTTCCAGCTGGTTGTCTATAAATAGAGTTTACGAAAATGTTTTTATCCTTTTTATTTATTATTTCAATGCATAACGACTCACAATCTGTTTCATTCACGCAAAGATCATTACGGTGAATAAAATTTAATGAGTTGTGAATAAAAATACTCACCCCACCACCAGCATGTTTATGACGCGATTGATGAACTGATGCGTAATTAGCTAATTCAAAACGTGCGTATTTTTCACTGTTTTTAAGCCACGTTTCTGTAAGGCAGATAATTTTAAAATCGTGTTTGAGGTTATGCAATAAAATTTTAAAGTTTTCAAAATTTTTACTCATACTCCGAATGTTCAGAGTTAAAATTGAGAAAGCATTATTGTTCTGAGAAAGAAAATGAGTAGATTCAGAAATTGAAAAATACTCAGTTTCAAAGCTTTTTTCAAAAAAATTTTCATTATCATTATCACTAAGCTTTAGATCTTCGTAGTTAAATTTTGTAGAAAAGTTATCTTCCATTTTAAAAACTTAAAATTTTAAATAAAATAAAGAAAAAATAAGGTAATATATATACATGAATAAAAAAGAGTTAAAATATAAACGAACCTAATTCTTTTTTCGATTGGAAGCCCAATCACGTATGATCAACCTATCGTACGAAATAAAAGCGTATTTCCCTGCTGCTCGTTCTACTTTCATCTTTTCTTTTAAAGCTCTTCTTATTTGTCATACTTTACTGGT